ATGTGCTTAAGCATTGACGTCGTGTTTGTGATTGAAGGGTCAAGTTGGTGGGTGGTCATGCAAAGATGACTTTTGGACACGGGGACGAACCCTTGGAGGGCCATTTAACCTGACACTGCGACTTTGACCTGCATTGTTGATTTTCTACGTTTGTAAGTGGACCTGGCCAGGCCGGATGGTTCACCCAATGGTTTCAATGTAGGTTGTGACGGAAGCGCAACTGTATCCGGATATGATTTCGATTAACATGAACTGATCTTGATATTGCTGAAGGAAACGCTGATGGACTACACGGTGCACCACAGTGAAGGCATTAGTCAACAAATTTGTTTCCGCATATCCAAGTCAATTAGCAAACCGATAAGAAATCAACTGAAAGACAACAAATCAAAAAAAAAAAAAAAAAAACAATTTGCAAAATAAACAAAACAATTTAGTACATGTGACATGTACATCAATACATCAAAGATTTTATTTGTCATTTCTGTAACGTCTTCCTTTGTCCATTCATCCATTGCTACATTAGTCCTTATAGTTCAAAGGGCCTTTCATGGGACCCCTAGCATTTCCAAGATCCTTCCCTTGCCTCTTTATTTTTTCCAAGCTCAGGGATTGCCAGATATCCTTGCAGTACAGTTTGAATTGTTCACTAGAAACAAACAAGTGCAACACTATTCTGCACAGTGGCACTGTGCTTCAAATTTCTGGTTGAACTTGGCACAAGCAACCCCCATTGACATAGAATGTGCCACTTTGGCCACTCGTCCCGCAAAATGCGTTTCCAAAGAGAATACCGGAAGAGGTGGGTCCTGGAACAACTATGTTGTTCCTCCCCTTGCAGTCAAACCTTCTTCGAAGGCTTTGGTCAATCACACATCATAACCTAAGACTTGTGAGCCTGCAACATGTTTGCATCTAAGAGTTCTCAGCTTGAATCTTTGAGAAGGGACGCATGTTTGGCCTTTGTAGTTGGCCTTGTTCGGGTGTCCTTCTTTGTACGTGGAAATTGTGGATAATGCATATAGGTTTCTTGATGTTTCTTGTGGTTTGTAATTTGTATTTATCGCGGATGCTCAGTCAGGGTTATCATACCTGAACCCAACATGAACAAACATGTTGCCGGAATATATCCTTAAGATATATTGATATTCTTGAAGCACAACACGGTTGTTTTCATTCAAGTGTTTTTGTGACCCTTTTTCGTCTGCTTTCGGGTCACCACCGGATTCGTTCGCTGCTCTCACCAGGTGGCCATGCAAGCGGACTTGAAGATGCTCGACCAGAAACTCACCGTGCCCTGGGTGAATGGCTGTTGCAATTCGAATAGTATTCCCCGAACTTTTGGGTGAATCCCCCCCGAACCTGGGGGGAACCTGAATGCATCTTCCCGAACTGTGGGTGAATTCCCGTCGAAACCCTGGGGAAGAGTTCCATCGCGAACCCGTGGACGGCCGGAAGGTGCTCATGCGCTCGATCCAAGAGGGAAAGGCGAGATGTGGCTTTTTCGGTGCCAGTCGAGTTGGGGCAGGGGGGGCGTTTCCAGGCACAGCAGCTATAGAGCCGGACTTATTATTCAAACCCATATATGGATCAGGTGCAGGTCAGGCTTTGTTGGGGCGATTGGGATTTATAACCCATTCAAATTCCAGAGGTGGACAAAGGCGCACCTCTTTTTTCCGGGGAAGCTGAGTCACTGAGGGAACCAGATTCCCTGGCATTCCACATACCTCGTCAGAAGGTATATGGAAAGGTCCTCATTGGGAGTGGTCAAGCTTTTGTTGATCCAATATTGTATCATCAGCTCGGAATCTCCATGTTTGGCAGCCTCATGAAACAAGGTGGTGGGGTCTACAATCGTTTTGAACTCCCTAGGCAGCCAGGGCAAAACGTTTTGCTTGCGACCACGCCACTCGTCGCATTTCCGGCGACGTTCCTGCAGGTCAACAATGAGACATTTGACAAAGTGGCGAAGCGGACCGAAGGTCGAAAAACGCCACTTGGTGGTAAACCTGGAACCGGATGTGTTCGACATCAGACCACAGGAGAAATGAAGCATTGTCGAAGAACCTAATACATTTATCCAAACTGGCCTGGATAGAGTAAGTAAACATGGGCATGTGACTTGAGCCGGCATTGAAGTATTTTGGCAGATGTTTGCAGATGTCATTCAATCATTGTTTCTAGATTTTGTGAAATAATATGAAAGATAAGTCCACGAGTCTCAGTTCAAAATTACCCTGGGAGGCCAAGAACCATTTCTTAAATGTTCCTTAGGTGAATCGAAAAAGGAGCTTCCTCTACTTCGGTGTTGCCAAAAATTGTCTTTAGACTTCTAGGGTGTAATATAAAAAGAAAGAGGGAGAGAGAGAGAGAGAGGGAGATCGAAGTAGGTAGAGATCGATACTTACCCACTTTGGCTGCGGGAATGGATGGTAGGACCATACTTTGACTCAGTTGCGGTGTTTGCACGTTTCACGGGACGTGCGGTGGGCCCTTGTTCATCTTTGAGAGGGAGACGAGTTGTTGGACCAATTCATTTCACTTCTGGCTCAAAGGACCTGCAAGATAAAGGCCATAGGAGCAACTCTCGTCCTGCAATACATGAAACAGCCACCACATGGAACAGCCTAAGTCGCGCTTCGCTGGAACCACTCCGGAATAGCCTCAGCTGTTTGAGTCTCCCCTGTGGCCGCATCGGAGAGCATCCATCCGTCACGCAAGCACACCACAGGAGTCGTCGGGGTTTTGGAAGTGGTTCTGTTCAGCTTCCAGCCCCAGAAACTTCTGCCCAAAGCACGCGCCATGAGAGCCCATATGTTTTTTTCCGATGCTCTATGCAACCCAACCAAGATGAAGAGTTTGCCATTCGATGCCGCTGTCAACATTTCGAGGGTTATATCTACCAGAAAACAAGACAGCAGGATATATAACCTGTATTGTAGTTGGGTTCCGGGCGAAAACGGAGGTTCACTGTTGATGTTCCTCATGCTTCGCACCACGCTGCCGCTCGAAACCGGGACAAGCAAACATCCGTCCTCATCGAGCGACCCAGGACTCTTACACGGGACCTGAAGGTGTTCAGCTCCTCAGCAGGGAAGTCGCAGGTGTGTTACACTCCTTAAATTAGCACCCTCAAAGACCGTTTTCCTCTACAAATCCGTGGTTATTCTTCAGTGGAGTTATTGTAGACTTTTGACTAATAACCCCCCAGATGAGAAGAATCAGAAAAACACAGGTTACACTCTGACCACATGGAAGTGGATGGCACATGGTCCCCGCCAGGTGTGTTCCCCCCTCCTCTAATGTGTTCGTCAAGAACAATTCGCCTTGAAAGGGACCAAATGTTCCACTTCCCACGTGATGTCAACGAACAGCCACGGAGGCTTTCCACAACCCGACAGCTAGAGAAGCAAGTGAAAATTCTTACCCTGTCTCACTTGCTTCCCCTTAGCCTTTCAGAGAAGCAAGTGAAGAATTCTTTGAGAGGAGCACCTGGCGTCGGAGACAACAACTTCTGCCAGAAGCGCAGCACCCTTTCTTCTGCTCGTTTGCCGACGCCTCTTTCCGCCAAGTCAGCGGAAAAACCCTCCCTCCCAAGAGTCACCTGGAAGAGGCCAGGCCGCGAAGGCTGGGAAGAGTCTTTTGGTGCCACAGGCTTTGTGCAACAGAATGTGTAGCCTACTGACTGGTGCCCCATTGGTTCTTCAAGATCTTCAAGCACACACATCTACCTGGACCGGTCTCCTGCCCTGGATCAGCCGCTCCACCGGTTCTCACGGATGGTCCGCCGGTTCTCTCCGGTTCTCTCCGGTTCTTCCTCTTCCATCGCGGGGACTCCCCAGCTTCGCCGGGTCCTCCGCTGGTTCCGGACCCAGGACTGGAAGAGTCCGTGGAGTTGGGTGGCATCGGCCCGCGCATCTCTAACTCGGTGTCCCAGGTGCGAAGAAAGCTCCAACGGGCAGAAAAAACGAGGGCAAGAGGTGGAAAGATGAAGTGAGCCCTATAGGTCATGTTAAGCTGTAGGGTAATGGAACGATGTCCTAGGAGCCCTACAGGGCAAATATCATGTCCAAAGAAGTGAATTTACCCATTTGGACTCGTGGCCCACCTCACCTCCGTTTCGGTGGGGCTGGGGTGGGTGCCATGGGAGCCCTAGGGTTACAGCGAATGCAATTTATTGTCGAATCGACCCCTCCATGCTTTCCCTAAAGGACATCATGGCCAATGGCCCGTGGTTGAACCAAATCGTGAGAGAGAGTCTTGGGACCGACTTGTTTTTTTTTTTTTTTGCGGGGCCGCCTGGCGGGTGAAAAGGAAGCAGCGCATGCCTGTCGGAAAGAAGGTTTAGATTACAGTATTTTAGATTATTTAATAGTTGTTTTTTGTTTAAATGATGTTATATATATATATATATGAGTCTTCTTACCTTCGGCTACAATGCAGTGTTTTTTTGGTAGGTGTGTAGGTGTGTGACCTAGGAGTAACCCTTCAGGGAGTGCAATTTGGACGAGTCTTTGCTTGTTTGGCTCAGAGAACATGGCTCTGAGGACAAAGCTTTCAGGGTTTTGTGAACTTTTCATGGGCTTCTGTGGGATCTAGTTCGATGCATCGAATGCTGTTGCCACATTATTAATTATGGAATGGCCATGACTAAGCAATATCAAGATGGTGACAAGCACTTCAGGTTTTATGGACTTAGTGACTTAGCGGACCTCCGTGTTTTCATCCTATTTCAATGGGGTGACACTGCCATTGATGCAGCTGAAGCGCTGTGACTGTCAATTGGCCCCATCAAGGGAGCCAAGAAGACGCACCAGCTTGAGCACCTCAAGCCGGTCATATCTTTGAGGGGCTTATCAGCACACCAATGGTGGGCTTATCAGCACACCAATGGTAGACGACCAGCTTGCTGTTGTACTCCTCCATGTTCCACCAAGACACTGAGGGATCCCCGAAAACGTGTGAAACGACGAGTTTGATCCCGCCACACATCGTCGAAAGCAAGTCTTGGTCAGCAAAAAACACGTCCCTGCGCCCCATGGACTATCCGAGTGAAGCCAATGGGTGGTACATCTATGGCCCTCACTTCACGCGCTTTCCCATCGCGCCCACGCACGGCGGCTACGCGGCAGCCGGGCGCGAAGTGGAATTGGCAGCCTGGAAGTCAGAAGTTGGAAGCGGCTCCGGTCGCAACGGTTCAGCGAATTATTGGTTTGGGGGTCGCAACCGTTCAAGTAACCTTTGGCGAAGCTTCTGTTCCAAGAAACTACCGCAACACTAAAGAGTCTTGACATGTCTCGACCCTTTTATGGGCATCCTGTGGTGTAAACGTTCATTCCATAGTTTTACCCCCTGGTTTGGGAGTCAAGCATCCTTTTGGCTCAAATCCGAGGCTGAGGACATTTTGCAAAACAGCACATATACCAGGACCTTCCAAGAGGTGTCTATAAATAGCCTCTTAGTGGTTAAGGGGTGTCCAAAAACCACCTGTTGGAAGGTCCTGGTATAGATTACATCGATCACCCTGGAGTGATCAAAAGTCCTGAGGTCAATCCACCTGTGACACTGTGAAACACCACACCAAACATAGAAATAATAGTATATTGTATCCCAGTAAGCCTGAAACAGTCGGGGATTGAAGAGTTTTAAATGAGAGGTCTGACCGCTGACCATCATCCACCGTTGCTGGGAATGGGACCTGCCCAAAGGTACCATGGTTTTTGTGGGTTATCCGATCTTTGGATGGGTCACCACTGGCCCTGATAGCTCATGTGCACACTTGGCTGGGCGCCAGGTCTAGATCCCTTCGCCACTGAGTTCCTACTCCGGGCTCCAAGTGCATTTCGTCCTCCTCAGGTTCGGTGGTTCGACCCCCCGTGGCACCCACCCACCCCAGTCCGAACCGAAACGGAGGTGGGCCGTACGGAGCCCAAAAGGGTGATGGATGGCTCAGGTACCTCTTCAATCCACCTGGCTCAAGCGCACCACCGAGCTCTCTGAAGAGCTCCCACCGGCACAGCGCCGCTGGCTTCCTGCCCGTGAGCGGCTCACCGTGCAGGGCTCACCCTTAGGCGGCCTGGTGCGGGCGAGTGGCGCTGAAGGACGACGCTTGGAGAGAGCGGTCGACGAAGAAGTCCACCGTACACCCCGGAGCTGCGGGAGTCTCCTGACTGGACTTCTGGAAGACCCTGTGCATGGCGGACTTGCTTTTGTGGAGCTTCCAGATAGGACGCCCCAACATGAAGGTCCAGCAAGGTTCTTGGGTCTTACTTGCTCCTCCAGATGCTTTGCCGATGCCACTCTCAATCCATGAACGACAATTATATACGTGAATTCATGACATTATGTGTGACAACTCCGTTCTGAATTTCAAGTTCTCCTCCAGCACCTTCAAAGGATTCACCAAATTTAAAGGATTCACCGCTGCACTACGTTCGGGAATTCCGGACAGTACGACATGTGGTTGTCCAGTGAACGAGCATACTCGTTGGGCATATAACTTGTGGGTGTGGGAGTGGGTTCAGAATCTTTCAGATGTGTCATTTTCCAATGGCGCCGGAGGTGAGCTACCCCCGATTTGGTACGGACTGCGAAACTCAACAGCTCATGGATTGGAAGATCCTGTGCGAGCTCAAGTCGTACCTACATTTCGTAGTGTTTGCTCCTTTTGAATCCTTTTGAGGTACGACTCGGGCCGGCAGTTTTGACGTCGGGGATTCAGGTTGTCACCAGGTCGCGCTGGTTTCGCTGGTTTCGACTGCAGAACAAGGGCAGCCTGGGGTGTGGGATAACCCTCATGGCAGCACAGAGAGAGAGAGAGAGCAGTAGCAGAAACTATAGCAGAGACTAAGACCCTACACCAAAATGTACCTTCGAAGGAGCCTGGCTGGCTGGAATGCAGGTACCCTTTAAAATGGGGATCTCCAGACGACCATTCGAGATGAAGTTCCAGAAACAACTGGTTTGTGCAGTAAGCCAGGTCTTCCAAAGGTCCATTTTTGCGGGTTCCATGTTAATCTTCCCGGGTCTAAACACCCTGTTGAATCCTCTTGAATCTATTTGCACACCAACCCTGTGCTTCTTTTCGCTGAGGCCGCCATGCTGGCAGTGCGGACCACTTCCAGGTGCAGCTCACCACTGAGAGTGAGGCTCAAGTGAAGGCCTGGCAAAGCAGGTGGTGCCTCGGACGAAGAACCCAAGTTGCTTCTTGCAGTTGCTGGCATGTGCTTGCTACGTAGTGGGCACTTTTGCTGGGCAATTCACAGAAGCCATGGATCATTAAGTACATTCGAGGCTGCTGCAGTAGGCTATGGGCGTTCTTTTTTGGCATCGGAGGCGGAGACACCCGCCTTAGACGAGCTTCGATGCACAGGCTTTCCCCCAGACCATCTAACTGCCTGTTTTTCCGTTGACCGCGCGGCGGTTGAGCGAAGACGACCACGAACCGCTCCCCGTGACCACTCGCCCTCTGACCGTGTGTCACTGATCCCGATGATCCGGACGTGACCTGGGCCGATCAGTTGGGAGGTTTGGAGATGTTTAAAGGGTCAATGGTCGTTACACTCCAAACTCACATGGACCCTGACTGTCTGGCCTGGAAGAGTGGGGCTCCTCTAGCAACCAGTGGTTTTTAGGGTCCATGTTTAGTCTTCCAGGGTGTAATTACCTGGTAGTTCAATAGTTCAATACATATGCATATTGTTGGGGTATGGCCTATGATAGCCTATACTATACACTGACCCCTTTTCAACCAGCCCCATGGTCGTGTTTGGGGCATGTAGATATGTCGAGAGTCTCGACGCCTCACAAGTCGCAACAAAACAACAACCCAAACGCGACCCTGGACCCTCCATCTGTAGGGGTCCGGACCTTCTCACCAATCCCTGCGGTTTGGTTCGGGACCAGTCGAGCTGTGAACGGAGCGTCTGGGAACATGCACTTGAATGGGTCCACGGATGTAGCACGAGGAAGGGGGGGAAGGGCTGCCCTGACAAACGCGCAGCCGGCCCTGGGACTGGAAGAGTTACATACATTTACCGTTTACCCCATTGATGACCCCAAGGTAAGTAACTCTTCCAGTCCGAATGGTTTGGTCTGGGACTGGACAGTCTGTTTCGAGGAACCCAAGGCAGGTGAGCCAGGCCCTAGGGCTCCAAGTACCTTCTAAGAAGGTGTTTGAGGTGGGTTTGGAGGGTCCAAATACCTTCTGAGGAGGCACTTGGAGCCCTAGAGAGGGTGTGGTTTTTGCGGGGTAGCCCACAGAGAATCTCGGAGCAGCGAAGGATCATCTACCAACCACACTGGCAGCTGGCGCCCGGACTGATGGAAGCACTCCAGGCCACCTATTTGAAGCGCTCCTGGCAAGTCTCCCATACGCTTCCTCCGCACGAGACTGGCCTGGCCAGGTGTGAGGTCAGGAGTGGTGTGTGTTCACTTCAGGTTCACCGCTGTCTCATTCCCAAACATTCCACGGATTATATGGAATATTATATAATATTATAGATATATTATATACCCCTATAATCCCTACATTGACCCCTTACCAACCATGCCAATGTAGGCGACATACAAGAAGTTTTTGGGGCTGCGGGCTCCTAACGTCATCGGTGCTTCTGCTCACCTCCCAGAATGAGGGGCCAGTGAGTGAATCGAGAAGACAGCGAGCTGAAGAGGTGGCGGCAACACATGCAACATACCAAGATGCTGGTACCACAGCCCACATTCATAGACACTCCTTGGTGGGTAAAAGCTTGACACATCTTGACACCATTTGATTCACTCCATGGATGCAATCAGAACAAGGAATTCCTACCCTCCCTGGCCCTCCAACAATCATGAAAGCATATGGAAGCTGACCGGGGCCCCCTTGTAGGGGAAAAGGGTCTTCCAGGGGCCTAGCTTCAACTTTCCATGATTGTTTCAGGGAGTGTACATGGGCTTGAGGACTTAAGAACGGGCTACCTGCATCCAACTCCATAGTGGCTGGTTCTGCCGTTCTCTCCACGAAGAACCCCCATGGTTCGATGGCAGCTGACATGACATCACCCGCTTCGGGTCAGTTCTTCGATTTTCAGCACCCAGCACCGGTCCTCACGGGGGGGTCCTCGGTCCAAAGACAATTGCCCGTATACGGTCAAGCAGGGAGACCAGTGCCAAAAGACCAACAAACTGAACGACTGTAGCAAGGCCTGGTTTTCTTACTGCTCGTGGATTCACTGGGGTCGGTTTTCTCCGAGGAAAAGCTCTACATTCGCCCCCACGAGCGGCTCCGCTTGGGGACTGCGGGCTTGCCAGCGCCTGAGGGCCATCTTCAGGTGGGAGCCGGCGTCAGGTTACAAGGAAGAGAACACACACAAATAGGCCAAGGTCCTCGTAGATGACGGAAAAAGGTGTGTCATCTGTGAGGGTGTTTGTTTACCTCGAAGGTGTGTACACAGTGCCAGGTGGACTTAGAGCCTGTGGAGCTGGAGCGTTTGCGCGCCACGGAGCCACGCAGCCCTTTGTGTCGCTACTTCTCGGCGGATCCGCTGCGGCTGCAGCAGGACCGTCGGTGAGGTCGGAGACGTGCGACGTGCGCCGCAAGCGGACCGGGAGGCGAGCGCGACGCGCTTGGTGCGTGGAAAGCCCCGGCGGCGCCGGTGTCGGAACCAGTCTGGATGAAACGTCCCCAGTGGTCGGGCACTTCCAGTTCGATATATCAAGGATTCTCAATGGCCAAGAGCGGAACAACCTGGGGTTTCCAGGTTGATAAGTTTTTCATTCAGGACTCAGACAGCAGGGGGTCCATTTGGGTTCCTTGAGTCCTTGAGTCATCTTGAGTCATATTATGGGTCAGCCAAGTCTATGATCAACTGACATGCCTAGGATTCCAGCCACCATTGATTTATGACTATGAGCTATACCGAACAACCTATTTTGAGAATCCAAGCAACCATTTTGCAATGGTCTTGGAATCCTTTGAATGCCCCTAACACTCCCATGCACCATAGAATTCCTGGGTGGATCTGGGTGGTGCTTTCAACCTTTACTTGCGATGTCTTGAGATGATGATGGGATCCCACTGACCCAGAATTCGTTTGTAAGTGAGTTGAAGCCAGCAACACACTTACTTGGTCAGCAAAGAAAAAAACAAAACCTCGAGCTCACCCTATACCAGTACCAGCCACCAGCCTGTGGAACTTCTCATCCTCCCTCCAGGAGCTCGAGACCTGCTTCTCCGATGCCCGATTCGGTCCCGCGAGTCTCGCGACGCGCGCGGGAACTGGCGCGGGAGCTCTGGTGGGTTTACTGCTGCCACATGGCGCCTTCTGCAACTCGGGCTTCGTAGCGGCCCACGGATATCAGCTGCTTGCGGCACCTCGACAAAAAAGACAGCAGATTCGAAGAGGCAACACAACGCAATAGGTGTTTTTTTAAAAGTATGGCCTGAGCCAGTACAATGATCCTTGCCTTTTGGATTTTGCGAATTCGCCGCAAGGTGCCACCGTTGGTTCACTCGCTCCACCGAATCCCTCCACCATCGGTTTCCCTCCTGCACCAGGACTCGCTCACAGGTCCGTTGGACTTGGCCGTCTTGATTGGGAACAACCATGCGGCCTGGAATCGCGTGGCCCTTTGCGAGCCTTGGACGACCTCCGCTTCGGGACGACGCACCTCCGTCTCTTCGCGTACGCGTCGGGTACTTGCAGAGAGGGGGTCTTTGGATGGTTGAAGTCGCCAGGAAGGACGCCACACCCCGGCCACCAGCCACCCGTAGACCGGCCACCCAAGACGGCTGAGAAGTCAAGGGAGTCAAGTGCTTCTTCTAGGTGGTTTCGGATATGTGATGTGTTTTGTGGGTTTGTGCCATTACCTGGTTAAACAAATTTATAATATAATACGCCGTTATATATTTTTTAGAGAAAGAGGCTGGCAGCTACTATCATCCACTGCTACTGGTAATGGTATGATTTACCCGATGTATGTTACTGTTCAAGCTAAGCTTGGGATGACTGAACCCTCTGACTCATATTTGTTCATAAGTGAGTTGAGGCCACCAACGAGTACTCGATCAGGGGAAGACTAGCTTCAGTGGCCTCATCCATGGCCCAACGTGGCCACAGAAGAGAACATCTCGCCTGGATTTGAAGGAAAGCAACATGTCATTTAACTGACTTTTGGTGATAAGATGTCGCTTCCATGAACATATACGGTCGTCGTCCGGAAGAAAAGGGTTGATTTTAGTATGCGAGTTCCCACATGAATTTAGGACAACTCCCATGTAAACATCTTTGCATCTCCAAAGTGGCTCCATATATTTTCAACCACTCAGATCCCAGCACACCGCAGCCTGTCAACGCAAGAGAGGTGAATGTGACCGTAAATAGGACCCGGAAAACCTCGGGGTACCAATGGGGTACCCAACTGGGATAGTCGATCAGTCGGGTTCTTCAACCTCTGGACTGCAGCCCATGTGGTGCTTTTCCAAGGATCAGGATTGGGCCACCCCCTTGGGCGTGCTGGAGGTCGACCACCGCGCGCTGAAGCAGCTGCTTTGCGCAGTTCCGGGTGTCCCGGTGCAGCGGCAGGTGCATGCCACCGAGCATTCGATCGAGACGCTTGGTGCTTGGTCACGTTTTTCGAGGTGTCGTGTGACCGTTTGGTTTGGACCCGTCACCCGGGGTACCCAACTGGGATAGTCGAACTAGGGATCGAACTAGGCTGGAAGGTATTCCTGATCATCACTCCCTCCCCTGCGCTTGAGGTATTCCAGACGCGTTTGTGAAAACGGGTCCCTGTGTGCGTCGTGGGCCTCGTTGCGGCGGAATTGCATGCGTTAACGAAAGCAAAACGTACCTAGACCATCGAAAGGGTGTCCTGTCTGGAGGTCCCTAGGTTGTGTAGGGTAGTCTACTGGACACCCCCTTGGATGGTCCTGGTATCTCTCCCGCTCCCTTCCATCCCTCCAGCATCGCTCGCCATGTCTCTTTCTCTTCTTCTCTCTCTCCAAGTGCCCCATGGCCGACAGCCGCTCTGCCAGGAACCAGCTCCCCTTCCTCCAGCATTTGCAGCTCAGCGGCGAGACTCGCCTCCGCATCCTCCCCGTGGGTGTGGGTGCTGTTGCGCTGTCGGAGGCACAGCAGCTGGCCAACCAGCTTGCGGCACTGGTGCGTAGCGTGGAGCATGGACACCAGGTGGTGGTGATTGGTACGACCGCAGCTGAGCCGAGAGCTGTGATGTTCGAGCGACTGCGGGGGGGGTAAGCTGATCAGGATGGCACAAGGATCATGGATGAAAAGGAAGGACTGAAGGACATGTTGCACGGTTGGAAGATCTATGATTTAATAATATTTAAGCATGGTCGAAACTGCACTGAAGGGGTCAAGTTTGCGGCCGGCTCCGGACCGAGAAACTGGGCAGGTGACTTGTTTTTGGGCAGGCTGGAGGGAAATGCAACACACATATATACTGTAGATAGAGCAGTGGATCCCCTCATTGCATTTTTCTTCAGTTACTATCTATACTATGTGCATGGAAAGAATTCATCTTAATTTTATATCGATTGCTTATACATTTTAAGGCGCTGTTCAAGTGGCTCAATGTCTTGTTGACTTTGGAAAGTTCCGCTACTGCCACATGGATTGCTTTAGACCCCACGGGAGCTGATCATGCTGTGCCTTTTTCGTCATGAAGCAAGGGAGGACCCGGTGACCACAACACGCCGGTTGGAAGTTGTGGGCAGTATATTATATACCCATATTATACGATAATATACCTAGGAAGCACGTTTTTCCTCCACTTGTGCACTTGACATCACTTGACCAATATGGAAACGCATGGAAATGCTGTTGGAAAACGCTAGCCGCTAACCACACACCGCAGCAGAGTTCTTGCAAGCCTTCCCTAGGTCACTTGGGGAAGCGCTGTAAAACATGGTAAAGCTATGGACGGCAGCGAGTTGCACTGAAAAATACTAACCCCGGAGAAGACAATGAAGATCATCAGTGAACGGCTCGGTTGCGTGATACGGTGATACCGACGACGCCGGATGTTGGACAGTTCAGCTGCCCCAAGTGGGAAAGTTCCCAAGCTTGCGAAGGCAAGGAGCGGGGTGAAACATGCTCAGTCGTTCGCAAAATGAAAATGCCCGTCAGAAACACCATGAATCACCCTAAGGATCTGAACCCTCAAACACATTTGGCTGTTCAGGGGCCAGGCCGCTGCTATGGCTGGCTTGAACACTGTGGGGTGTTGAAGGGTTCTTGCGCGCAGCGCGCCGAGCCACACAAGCGACATCATGAAGCCTTTGCAGCCAAGCTGGAGCTTTCACGCGCGATCGCATTACAAAGCAACGGCCAGCCGTGAAGCCTTAAACCTGGTCATGCTTCATCAACTTAGCACTGACTTAGCATTTACTTAGCACGACATGCTTAACAAGCTGCCTGCGCTTGCTTGTTGGGATGCGGGAACCAATTTGCACAACCCCTCTCAATTGGACCTTACCCACCAACTACGGTGGTTCAGGTGATATATGTGTGGAGATCGGGCCTGGAGGCACTTGGATTCACATTCCTTCTTCCAGGATCTTCCAGGGGGCTTTGGCGGTTATTGGGGAGGTCTCCCTCATCTGATGCACACGCCATGTGTTTCGAGCACGTTCTTCAGCCACGGCGGCCACTTCGAGGATTTCTCCCACGAGGGCCCCAGCTACGGCGGCCGCTGCATGTCTGTGCCGGAGATCACACGTCTCACAAAGGAGAAAGATAAACCACTGCTGGAGGCAGTGAGGGCCATGGATGTGGAGAATCCCGGCGATGTGGAATAAAGATTCCAGGACCAAATAGGTTCCACCAAAACGGAAACAATTGGAGCTTTAGAACGGAACGTTTGCACTTTCAGTCATGTTGGCATTAGGGATCATCATGAAACAGGGTCGCTGATTCAAAGGACCACCAACTTGGAAATGGCAGGTGGGTGTTGCTAGTTTTTCTAGTTTGTGTGGGGCAAGTTATAAACCAATATAAATCACATAGTTGGCCGCATCCGTTGCTCAAGTTATCAGTGGTCATTTTTTGCAATGTTCAATTCAATACTGAAATCTGAACAATGGTAAAAACGTAAGGTTTCCAGTCAGTCCAAATTCTCAAATTCAGGCAGACAATGCACGACTTACATTGGCACTCATCATATTTTGTATGTATTTCTTCCTGATGCATTTGTTTGCACAAAGCGCATTGTATAGGGCACAATATATGGACATGACCTTAAATTCACTGGAACTATGTTCAGAGTTTGCCATCAATAACGGCCACACCTGATTTGTTGTGTTTGATGTCGCCGTATTCTTTGCTCGCGGGGTTTTGCGGCTAGAGTCTGTTTGGGTCAAGTTGCAGTGGACCAACGACGTTGATGTTTGGAGTAAGACATCCGTTTCTCCGCAAACAACCAGTCGTCTAAGGAAGCTCTTGAGCATCCTGGCGTTCGTGGCATTCAGAGGTGTTTTCATGAGTTTGAGGCTCGTGGAAACCTCGGAAGTGTTCTCCGTCAACTAAAGAAGTTGCAAGACTTTATAAGTATGCTATGGGCCCTAGAAAGGTTACATATCCCAAACGCTTCATGTATGGCATATTTAAGTACATTGAATGTGGGGTGGTTTAAGGGGTCCATGTAGGCAAATATTCCATACAACTTCCATGACATGGAGTGTCTTTGGATGCTGACAGCTTCAAAGCTGTCCGTTTCTCGGTTCTTCCGTGCTTTCCAAAATGTGTCCCGGTCCACCCGGGACCGTGCGAGACTGTCGTCGCCTTCCACTCATGCACCCCCCAGGACCTTTCAAACGTGACCGAACGTGGGACCCACTGAGTAGGGGGTCTGAGCACGCCCTCGTTTGGCAGGCCCAGCAGGGTCAGTGACCGAAGATCCGAAGACACGATCCGAAGACAAATCAAAAAAAATAGTCACTTTGAACCAATCCTGGCCCTGCATGTGGTCAACAAAAGGTAGAACCCAGACACGACTAATGGGACTGCCAGGACGGACTGCCGATCAGTTGGGGTGGTTTGAGGGGTCAATGTAGGTGGCATATATGGCATACATGAAGTGTATGGGGAATGGTCAACCATGACCTGTGGAAAAGAAACCCCTTCGCGGGACGGTCCTCAGGCCGGTCGCCTTGTGACACGCCCACCAACTGCTCGGGTTCAAGCGCGGTGTGGAGACGACCTGGGTCGCACTCACCTGACCAACAGAGGTTAAGTGACCTTATAGGACCCTACAGGGGTACCTATAGGATAGTCTATAGGGTTCTTCAACCTCTGTTGGTCGAGGCACCCAAGTACTTGACTTCGGCACTTGAAGCACCTGGGGTCGGTTCAGGGACCTGACCAGACGTGGGTCTTCCCGACCCGTGGTGCCCAGCGATCTCGTCCCCGGCGGAACTCGTGGCGCACACAACGGAAGGAGAACATGGAGCCTCCAAAAGGTTTCCACCAGAGGCTTAGGCTTCAACTAGGCTTCAACAGGTTCTCAATTGAATGAGCACCCCTTCAAAAAACATGAAACATACGACCCCCTGGCCTGATTGGGTTAAACCAATCACATGACAACTTCCGGTGTTTGGACTGCCATGGTGTCGAACATGTCGGAGATGCGTCTCAGGCCTTGCCCAGGCGAGGTCCTGTACCATGTGCGGCGCGGGCGCCGCCGCCGTGCTCCTGCTGACGTGTCAAGCGCTGGGCGCGTCGCAGTGTCGACAGCTGCGGTATTTGGTGAACACCGAGGTGGGGATGTGGCAGCTGGAGCTGAAACGTGGGTGCTCCTGGCCCACATCCTCAGGTTCGGTAGTTAGAACCCGCTGGCACCCACCCCTGGCCCACCTTCTCAGGTGGTGGGCTAGGAGCCCTAGGGACAATAAGTGCGTTTAGTTTTTTTAAACGTTTGTGGCATTGGGGGGGGTGAGGGGGTCTCCTGATGGTAACACTTGCAGATCAGAGCCAAGGAACTCGACAAAGTCAGTACTTTGGGACGATGAACATAACCTGACCGCATGGGTATGATAAGAAAGGGTGTACTGTGTATCGATGAGAGGCTTCTCAGTACCTCAAGGCTTCTTGGTAGAGCACCCAGAAAGCACCCAGCTTTACCCTGGGAGGAAGATAGTTAAATGCCAACAACATGTATGGATTGTTTAAAGATGTTTCAAGTGGTCTTTTGCCGAGCAGCATTTGTTTATTAAGATTATTAAGGATTTTCACTACGGGACCAGGTCAGCCACATATTTTGGAAGGCTAGCGTCTATGGAACAGCATGGGGGTCCACCCCTGAGAGAATTGGGTGATTGATCGCGTGTGAACTGGTGAGGGAAGAAAGCATCCAGAGTCTACAGGCAAAAACCGCCACCAAGATCAGTATAATATGTTTGATTTCATGTCCAAGCAGTTCTTTCTCCAAAAGAATGCTTGGCATTCACGTCACAAATCCTTACTGCATCTCAGATGGTCTAGTCTAGGGTTTACGCGTCGTCGCCCACCTGGCGCCCATCTTCACCGCATCGTCGCTTCAGGTGACACCTTGTGACAGTACAACGGGCTTCGCGGCCTTTGCCTTGGAGAAAAAGGAACGTCGCGACGCCGGACGTCCCGCCCGGTCATGTTTTTTGATCTGAAAAACCCCTAGGGCTCCTGGCCTACCTCCTGAGAAGATGGTTGGGGTGGGTGCCAGGGGGGTCTAAACACCTTCTGAGGACATGGTTGGAGGTCTAGGGAACACACACCAAGCGTTAAACCCAGAGAAACCCTTATAGACGCCCTTCGGTTGTTGAACAAAAAAGCAGCGGCTGCTCTGGGATCCACCGATGCGACCGTCAGAAGCCCCTGGAACGCGGAAACGGGCAAATCCCCGGTTCCACGCCACGTCCCACGCGGCAGGTGAAATCCAACGTCTTTTGAATCGGCCGAAACCGGAAACCGGGATGGCCAAAGACGCCAGACAGGTGTGTTTTGGGGCGCGTTTTGAGGTTCGGTGGATTGGCATGAAGGCCTTGGCTTCGGGGCACATCTGCCAGATTGATGAGATGAGTGCTTAGCTCTTTGTTTTGGGGGTTGAAGTTGGGTGCTCATCCAATCCAACATTTTCCCAAAGCAGTGTCTGAAAGCATGTCCACATGCAACTTGTTACTCTCCCTGCACCAAACCCACTGTTTGGTATTCGGAAAGCATGGTCTTCCAGTGGCTAGGACCGCCAGGTCACCATGATGATTTCAGGGAGGGTAAGAGTGTTACAAGCAACCATGGTTCCAAAGAGGCACAGTATTTGTAAATATGTCTTCCAACTCTAGCCTGTTATGTACATGCAGAGTTATATGGTATTATGTAGTATGTTCTTTCATACGATTATATGCCCACACCTGCTTTGGAACAGAAATGCCCATGACTTCTTATGAAGCGCTGCATCTTTGAAGCGCTGGTTTTGCTTCGGCCCTTTCTTCTGCCAATCTCGGAACGAAGACGCGAAAGCTGGCGGTGTGGGTTTGTTGTTTTTCTTCCAAAATCATCTGTGGAATTTGACCAACTAAAAAGATATGTTTCCACTGCGAAGCTGGTCAGAACCTGGGGAGATTGGCTGCCTATCTCTGAGGCAGCAGATATGCCATGCAGAGTGCCACACAGTTCTTGACCGGTGAAACAAATATTTCGGGAAACCTCACCCATGTATAGGCAAATATTCAACGGAATGGATTTGGGGGTTCGTTTGCCTTCATCCATCTTCAGGTTGAAGGGCCATCATGGTACTTCTAGAACATCTGCACCGCATTTCTGTGCGCTCCGCTGTCTCACTTCGCATCGCAGAATTCCTCCTCCCCATTACGTGGGTTGGAAGTTGGAAGTTTGCGCTTCCCGACCCCTCGGCGTGCCGCTGAGACCTTCGAGACCAGGGGTCGACCAGAGGTCTCGTTTGAGTCCGTCTTCCGTTTCTGTGGAACTGGGCGCTTTCAGGCCATATGTCAAGATCAAACTCACCTACAGCCCAATTTATAGACCTACAGACCAGTTGACCTCAGAGGAGATGGCCATGTTGTGAACGAACAAGCTTTAAGCTGGATTTTTTTTGCAACATGGATATGTCCAGACAAGATGCTTTTAGGGAGGGGTCTCATACAGTTATATTTGGGAGATAGGCCAATGACAGATCTAAATAGGGAGACCTTTTGGTTATGCTAGGTTCTGCTTATGTCTATTATGGGTCAATCCCCAAACCTGGAGAATATAGCGGTTCCCAAACAGATCCGGTTTCCAATACACCTTTAGTGGGGATCTACTTTTCTATTTAGTTGGGGAGCGATCTATCTATCTATCTATCTATCTATGTGTTCTATGTTTTCTATTGTTTCTTTCCAGTTCTGAACGAGCAAATCCAACGAAACCGTTTTTTGAGACGTTCAACCCATTTGGTTCACGCCCTTTGGCCGGGCGACGCTCGCATGCCCAGCGCGAGTTTGCGCGCTTGGACGGCCGCTGCATGGAGTATCGGCGAAGAAGAGCGTTTGGTGGACGAAGCTGTGGGATGCCCGTTTGGGCTCCTGGCCCACCTCCTCAAGGTGAAGGTGGTTGGGGTGGGTGGTAGCTGGGGTGCGTGCCCCACCGAACCTGACGAGATGGTGCAGGAGCCCTAGGGATGATACAGTTCAGTTTTTTTTTTTTTGTGTGGGGTAGGCAGTCACACCAATATGCCCCTGGACATAGAAAGCTGCTTGATGCTATTTTGATATCATGAGATCCTTTGGTTGCTGATGTCTAAGTTTAGGTGTACATGGTTCAGGTTTGGACATGTTATTTGTGAATCCATTTCAACTTGGCCATGCACATGTTTGCACGCAACACTTCGATGACATGTTTCAATCGAACTCTGAAAGTTCATGACTTTTGCCCGGACTGTGCTTGTAAGAGCGGCTGTGGGCTGGGAGCCCCCTTGCATTAGCCACACCGGATCCCCAGGGGCTGGGTGGCTGTGGAAGCGACGTGTAGCGGTTGTTTCCCTTCTGGGTGGGCTGGTGAATCCACCATGTTATTATCAAGGCCGCTCCCACTTTTGCAGGTACCACCTTTGGCAACACAAGCTGCCCAAGCTATTCCCGTGTGTTCGGATACACTTCGCGATAGAGAGTTAAGAGGAGTGGCTCCAGAATGAATGGGTGGTGGCCAGGCTTGGTGTCCTGGACGGCGCAGTGGATGTGACCAACTCCTTTTTGCTATCCTTTACCCTCCCTGCAACAAACATGGAAGTGGAACATGGCCTCTTGGAAGACCATGAAAGCCACTACAAACCGGTGGTTTTCCACTTCCAGGATTGTTTCAGGGAGTGTAGATGTGTAGATGTGTATGTCATATTTTTTGACAGCACTCCATCTCCATCTATCACACGAAAAATCTCCCATGCATACAATGAATGCTTTGGGACAATACCTGAGCAGAGCGACTACGCCACACTTGGTGGGGCACACTTTGCTTCATCTTTGCTTCATCCGGGAAAGGACCCAACAACGACAGATGTAGGACCCAACAACGAGATGCAGTTTGAAGAGTCCAGATTTTGTGAAGAGTCCAGGACTATTTGGGAGATGGGTCAAAAGCTGGAGCTTTGGTTGACCATGTGGCTTGACCTGAAAGAGGTATGCGGTATACGGGATAAGTCAATCAAGGTAACCTGGTTTTGCCCCCCAAAAGCCTCGTTTCTCAAGCTCTGAAGGAGCTTGTGCATCTCACTGCAGCGCACTTGCCTGCGTGCGTGACTCACGCTGCGTGCGTTGACAGCACTGCCAGGCAGATGAGATGTTGGGCTCCGCCAGCTTGCCAAAGGCCTTAGCCAGGCGATGTTTTTGCAGGTGTCCAGAGAGAGTGCAGGGTTTTGGATCGGAAAAACCCAGACACTCCATGTGTGCCATATATGCCTACATTGGGGTGGTTTGGGGGGTCAATGTGTCTGGGAAATATTCAGCCTTTCTAGAACAAGAGGGAAGTCGCTGAAGGACATGCTTGACGTATATTTTGGGATGGGTGTTGGTCATGTTGTGATTGGGAATGGCGAAGTCATGGTTGTGTTGGTGTCATGCTTGTGTTGGGGTCATACATGGGGAACCTGTTGTGTGTGTTTCTGTGTTTCATGTTGCCCGTTCTACGAACGGATGAGACGGGCATCTTCTTCACCCGCCCGCTGTGGGCGTATTCTTCGTGTCCGTTCGCAGTTGGAGCCGGCGACGGCCGTTGCACGCGAAGATGTGTTAGGTTTTATCAATTGAACAAATATACCTGAACCGGCAGACAGACAACTGAACATTGGAGGTGCTTGGAGGTCATTGACTTTCAGGTGAGGGTTGTTCCTCACGACCAATGGTAACATTTTCCTGACCATGGCATGAACACTAGTGATTGAAATGTCATGGCGGGGGTCAATCGAATTAGAGTACATGTCATCATGTATCATCATGTTTAAAGCATTTTTGTTCAACTGTACCTTATGTACCCTGAACCATCAAATGGCATCAACATAAACTTGCTGTTTCAAACTGCGCGAAGAACATGCGATCCGTTGGCGTTCATGGCGTTCGCGCTCAGAAGAGGTTTACATCAGCAAGCACTACCTGGACCATCCATAGAAGTTCCTGGACCATCCAGTGAAGTTCCTGGACCATCCAGTGAAGTTCTAAGTGGAGGTTGGCCAACTGTTTGGATCCAACAGCTGAGTGGTTCTCAGTCTCTCTTGGAGATTTCTGGGAGATTCGGATGGCAAGATCCTTTACTATCCGGGGAGATGATCCAGCTAGGGAGCTACAGGGGGTCTCCATCTCCCTCCATTTTCACAGGGAACCGGAATTTGAAGCGGGAGCTTCCCAACCCCTCTAGAGAAACACCGGAACTGGGTGGTGTTGGTAGGGTGAGGTGGAGAACATCTCCGAATCCGGCCCTGAAGCTTAAGGGTTTTTGGGTTCAGACGTTACGGACCCCGAAGAGGTGGCCCCAAGGATTCTGAATGTGGCAGTACCCTGCCTGCCTGACATGTCCTTCTACCCCCCAGGGCTCCAACCACGACGAGGCAATTAGACCCCACCCCAAGCGCTGAGCCTGAGGATGTGGGACAGGAGCCTGAGGGTACTACAGTCCTTGGTGGAGTTTGGTGCTATGCTGCGGCTCTGATGTTCGTATCCTTCGTGTCCATCGCGCGAACTGCTGCTGCGACTGCAGGCAGAAGAGTTGGCGTAAAGGATCGGATGGCTGGCTCTCACAGAAGGCGCTTTGGGGGCTTTGCTCGATGTTTTGCCGGGCTTCAGCCAGGGCAATTGATTGTTTAGCACAGATGCAAGCAATTGCAATCATATGCGTGTATGATAAATGTGTTCATAGTGAGAGTTCAGCCTGAGTACTATCCATGTACCAGGACCCGACGACAAACAGGTCACCAATGGTTCGACCTGAGACAGGGTCCAACCCTCAACTAACAGCCTGGCCCGGAGGGTCGGCAACTCGTCGTCTCGGCAACTCGTCGGTAACTCGAGAGAGCAGTCGCGCAAGCGACGTGCGGTCTCTGAAAGACTGAGGTGTTAAGCAAGAAAGACCAAAGACTCCATGAGACTGAAACAAAGACTCCATGGGACTGAAAGACACCATGGGACTGAAACAAATGCCTATCTATACCG